AGCAGAAATCCTTCCTGATTTAAACACTTCATTTTTTCCCATTTTTGGAAATGATTCTTAGGAGAAAATCTGACAGACACAGGAAGCATGTTTAGTAAAACTCCTTCCTGATAAGCCCACAGGGGAGCTGGAGTTTGGTCCTTTCCCCCTCCCCAGATCTCCCCAGAGCTCACAATGACAATGCTTTGTGAACCCTAGTCTCTTAAGTAGGACGTATTTGTGGGGCACAGTGCTTGAAATTTGAATGATGCCAGAAATCCAGGATATACTTCTTGGGTAAGGCACAATGAAAAGCACAGAGGTGAAGGGCCAAAGGACCAAGGAGTACTCTCTTTTTACAGACTGCCTGTGATGCCTGGGAGCTCCACTGTGACCAGCAATGGCCTTAGTTCTTGACAAAACTGAGTATCTCTTTCAGCCTTTACTGGAACCACTCTTCACACACAGGTCTTCTTGGGTCTGACTGGCTCTTGTAATAAACAAGTAACATCTGGGGTTTGTAGCAAAAACCAATTTCTTGTTTCTTTCTTCCTATAGAAAGGAAGCAAAGTGAAGCTTTAGGCTAAGTACCAATAAACTCCATCACAACATGAATATTTCTTAAGAAAGAGAACATCTGCAAGGGTTTAGAAAGCCTCAGGATGGCAGGAAAAGCTCTAGGAATGAGGAAAGAGCAGACTGTGTCCTGCCCCTGCAGGCCTCTCTGAAGGGGGAGAGGCCCTGCTCTCAGGATCTTGGTCCGATAAAGCCGACTTCCTTTCTGCTGGCTCAGTCTGAACAGAAAGGGACTTCTCTGGTGGTGCAGTGGTTAAGAATCCACCTGCCAATGCAGGGGACACGGGTTCAAGCCCTGGTCCGGGAGGATCCCACACGCTGCGGAGCAACTAAGCCCGTGCACCACAACTACTGAAGCCTGTGCACCTAGAGCCCGTGCTCCACAACGAGAGAAGGCACCACAATGAGAAGCCCACACACCGCAACAAAGAGTGGCCCCAGCTCACCGCAACTGGAGAAAGCCTGCAGGCAGCAACAAAGACCCAACGCAGCCAAAAATTAATTAATTAATTAAATTTTAAAAAAAAATCTGAACAGAAAGATCTGGTTCTGGAGGACTCGTAGTCTAACAATGGAGGGATGGCACAGCACTGGAAATGATTGATGGGTAATTCTCAATTATCCAGGCAACAGGTATGGAGCAGAAAGGGTGTTGAAGTTCACTCAGTAATTTTCTCCCACAGCTTCAGAGGGTATCAAATTATTTATTCTAATAATTTATAATAAACAGATTATAAATAAATTTATATTTATAAATAAATAATAATAGTTTATTATAATCATTTTACCTTCCCCACTTTTTCCCACGGGAGCTGATGGAGTCGGGCCTGGAGAAGTGGCAGGTAGAGGAATATGGTCTCAGATTTAATATTGGCCACATAGACTGTCCAAAGGGGAAGCAAAGCCAGTAGAACTCATCACTGAAGTTTAATCTGAACCATGAGGATAAGCCATGCTTTCACATGACCCATTAAAGAGAAGCATAAGGAAGGAGGAGTAAGATTAAGAAGGGTTTTATGGCCCCGAAGAAACCTTCATCACGAAGAGCGGAACTACTCAGTATGAATCTGCATTAGGCTAGGAATGAAAGCAGATTTTATTCTTTTTTATCTTGATCCTCCTGTTTTGTTCTCCTCCATCCCTTATTCAACTCTCAAATCTCAAATATTGAATGATATTAAGGATTTATTACTAACTTTTTAAGTGATAAAGGTATTGTGATTATGTGTTTAAATAAGATCCTTTAAAGAGATATATTAAACTGTTTGCAAAAAAGATTATATAATGTGAGAAATTTGCTTAAAATAAAAGGGAGGACAGGGGAAGAGGAGGTTTGGGATAAAATAAAACTGGCCACGAATTGATAATTGGTGAAGCTGGGTGATGGGCACATAGGCATTCATTATAGTATTTATATACATTAAATGTGTTTGAAATTTTTCATAATAAGGATTTTTAAATCTCATTTTCTGAGAATGGTCCCAGTTATATCTTCTCCTCCTGCCTTCACACTCTTGTCTCCAAAGACTTTCTATCAGTGACTCAAAGATGAGACCTAAAATTTTCTAGCAGTGGGGATGGGTTGCTTTGAGCAATTCATACCTTGTGATAAAGGGCATAGGTTTGAAGACCCCTGAGTAGACTTAGAAGTGGTTCACAATAACATCATACATGTCTTCTCTGCAGGTATGTGGGCATGTGATGCTGGTGGAATGTAAAATTGTACAGCCACTTTGGAAAGCATTTGGCAGTTTTTTGGAGAGTTGGGCATTTGTCTCAAATGACAGGATTTCCTTCTTTTCATGGCTGAATAATGTTCCACTGTAGTGTGTGTGTGTGTGTGTGTGTGTGTGTGTGTCACATTTTCTTTATCCATTCATCTGTTGATAGTCACTTAGGTTATTTCCCTGTCTTGGCTATCGTAAATAATGCTGCAGTGAACATGGGGTGGAGACATCTCTTTAAGAGAGTCATTTAATTTCCTTTGGACATATACCCAGAAGTGGATTATACAGTAGTTCTATTTTTAATTTTCTGAGGAACCTCCATGTTGTTTTCCAAAGTAGCTGTACCAATTTACATGCCCACCAAGAGTATCACATGATGATTAGTGATATTGAGTATCTTTTCATGTACTTATCGGCCATTTGAATATCTTCCTCGGAAAAATGTCTGTTCAAGACCTTTTCCCATTTTTTAATTGAATTTTTTTTTGCTATTGAGTTATTTCCTTATATATTTTGGATATTAACTCCTTATCAGATATGTGGTTTGCAAGTATCTTCTCCCGTTCCACTGATTGCCTTTCTATCTCGTTGATTGTTTCTTCTGCTGTACAAAAGCTTTTTAGTTTGATGTAATCACACTTGTTTATTTGTGCTTTTGTTGCTTGTGCTTTGGGTGCCATATCTATAAAGTCATTGCCAAGACGGCTGTCAAGGAACTTTTTCTCTATGTTTCTATGTTTTCTTCTAGGAGTTTTATGATCTCAGGTTTTACACTTAAGTCTTTAATTCATATCAAGTTAATTTTTTTTTTTTTTTTTTTTTTTTTTTTGCGGTAGGTGGGCCTTTCTCTATTGTGGCCTCTCCCGTTGCAGAGCACAGGCTCTGGACGTGCAGGATCAGTGGCCATGGTTCACAGGCCCAGCCACTCTGCGGTATGTGGGATCTTCCCGGACCAGGGCACGATCCCGTGTCCCCTGCATTGGCAGGCGGACTCTCAACCACTGCACCACCAGGGAAGCCCCATATCAAGTTAATTTTTGTGAGTGGTATAAGATAGGGGTCCAGTTTCATTATTTTGCATGTGAATATCAAGTTTTCCCAACACCATTTGCCTCCCTTGTCAAATATTAGTTGAGCATATATGCATGGGTTTATTTCTGGGCTCACATTTCTGTTGCATTGGTCTATATGTCTGTTTTTATACCAGTACCATACTGTTTTGATTACTACAGCTTTGTAATATAGTTTGAAATCAGGAAATGAGATGCACCCACCTTGCTTCTTTCTCAAGACTGCTTTGGCTGTTTGAGGTCGTTCATGGTTCCATACAAGTTTTAGGATTTTTTTTCTATTTCTATAAAAAATGCCATTGAAATCTTGATAGGGATTGCATTGACTCTATAGATAGCATGGGTAGTATAGACATTTTAACATTGCTTAACTCTTCCAATCCGTGAATATAAGATATCTTTCCATTTACTTGTCTTCTTCAGTTTCTTTCATTAATGTCTAAATCCCACTTGATTATGGTGTATGATCCTTTTAATACGCTGCTGAATTTGGTTTGCTATTGAGAAATTTTGTATTCATCTGGGGTATTGGCCTGTAGTTTTCTTTTCTTATAGTGTCCTTCTCTGGCTTTGGTACCAGAGTAATGCTGGCTTTGTAAAATGAGTTCAGGATTATTATCCCCTCCTCCCCAAAGTTCTTTTCTAAACAGATTTTCTCAAATCTGTCTTCTTTCTTTGCATCCTTTCCCCTCCATGCCCTTTTCTCTCAACCTAATAACAAGAAAGTTGGGGTTATCTAGAACAATAATCTTGGTTCGGTAAAAAGGTGCCATCTTTAATCTGAACATTGCCTCCAGGCTGATTCATTTTATTCAGCTGAAAAGAATTATTGGGCCTTGTTTGCTTAAGATCTCAATCTTGTCTCTTTTTTCCTCTTTGGTGTCTAAAAGTAATAGGCTTTTCCAGTCCTTTGATGACCCAGATTTCACGCTATTCCTTCTCATTTCTGCTTAAAATTGGCCAGTTATTCCCCTATTTCAACTCTTTCTTTTGTTAAAGTCAGCCAACACACACTAATATTCTAATTCTAACCATTTCCCTTAGAGCTCTAGCCTCAGTAGGCACATGGTCTGTCTTCCAGTTTTACCATATTCTTTACTGTAAACATGATTGCTGTATTGTCAGCCTTTTATATCCATTTCCTTACCACCCACCCACCCCCAGCTGCTAAGCCAACGCCACACATTTTAGATTTGTTTTTAAAGCAGAACCTCACTTCAGTAATGGAGTAATTAAGAGATTGGGTTCTGGAACTAGTTCAAGACCTGTCCATCCTAGTTAGTAGCTAAATGACTTTAGGCAAAATACTTTCCCATTCTTAATATCAAGTTTCTTGTCTGTTATTAAAAGACGGGTATTATAAATATTAAATTAAATAATACAGGTAGAGTACTTAGCACAATTATTGGCACTTAATTAATATTTACTATATTTTAGTTACTATTATCTCCTGTCAAAATCCCAAGGATGGCTCCTGTTGGGCTTTCTTTTCTGTCCTGTGTACTACTGCCTAGAGACTGTGAGCGTTAGGGCACCCCTGCCCTCCAAGAAAAGAGAGAGGCTTTGTTGAGAGATAGGCTCCAAACGGTAGAACTGAAGCAGCACATCTTGGATGAAATGTTAATTTAATTCTTTTTTTGATTTCTAGATTTTTCTGTTTTTAGGCAGCATGTGTTTTGTCCTAGCAGTTGGTCATTGCATTTGGGAAAGCAAGAAAGGCTACTACTTCCAGGATTTTCTGCCATGGAAAGAATACGTCTCTTCATCAGCTGTCTCTGCCGTCCTTATATTCTGGTCCTACTTCATTATTCTCAACACCGTGGTGCCTATTTCCCTCTACGTCAGGTAGGCTTCTTTGACCACTGGGGGACAAGCTGACTTCATACTTCCTACTTAATTCCCCAACTAGACTGTGAACTTTCAGAAAGCATAGATTCTGTGCTCTTTAACCCTTTACTTTGCACAGTGCCTGGTGCACAAAACACTCTGAGACATATCTAGAGACTGCATAAATGTTTTCTATATCCAGAATACCATCCTAGATACTATGTGGGTTATACAAAAGAAAATTATCCCAACCCTCAAATAGTTTATAATGTACATGACTAAATAAGACAAACAAACACATGAAATAATTAGAAAAAAATACACACAAATTTGGTGGTGCTAAAGCACAATCTAGGCAGCCCCTAGTTTATCAGTGAGACAGATTCCATTCATTTGTAAATCAGTTAATTCAGAACTCAGAATGAGTTTTCCCATAGAAACAATGTGGCAAATGGTAGATAGGTGTAATTGTGACTTAAGTTCTGGTTCCTAAAAGTTGGAGAAGATGAAGGATGTTTCCTTCCCCTTTTCACGAGCACCTTGAACAAAAACTTGAAATATAGGTAAAATAAGTCTTTACTGTACTCTGCTCTGCTTTTTCTATTTTCAACATTCCCTTTCACATACACACACACAAACACATTTTTTGCATCCTTCTTTTCAGGTTTCCTAAACCCTGCACTGTGGCATCCCAACCCCAAAAGCACCCAATATAACTAAATTATCTTACTAATTTAATAAATATTTATTGAACACCTACTATGTGCCAAGCACTATATTAGGTGCCAGAGAAAGAAACATGAATAATAAGACAACCCTTCCTCTAGATAAACTTACAACATAGACATGGAAACAGATACTTAAGTAAATAATTAAGGTACAATATGAAGAATGATGTAATAGAAATGTATATGTGAATGCTATGGGAGCCTAGAAAAGGAATATGTTGGTTCTGCCTGTAGAGGCTTAGGATTTACAGAAAAAAGTAATAATCAAACTGATATTTGAGAAAAGAGTAGAATTTACCAAGCAGAAAATAGGAAAAGAATATTACAAGCAGAAAGACCAGTATGTACAAAGGTTTGGAGGTTTTTAAAAGCTTGATCTGGTCGTAGAACAGTGAGTAGCCTAGACTAAGGTGTTGGATGGTAATTTAGGATTAGATTCAGGAGAGCCTTGAATGCCAGGCCAAGGAGTTTGGGTTTTATCCTAAAAGCAGCAGAGATCTTTCCAAGGAAAGAAATAATATCATTAAATGTCTGGGTTTAGAGAGATTGCTATGGTGACTGGTATGGTGAAGGAAGGGAGAGGTCAAGACTCAACAAATGAGGACTAATAAAGTCAATAATGTGGGCCTGAGCACCTCTTCCCTCACCTCAAACAAAAAATCCATGTTGCTCAATGCAGTTGTCTCAGACAGGGATTACTAATGAAGCAGTCTAAACTGCCACAAACTAAATATGAATGATGATAGGAAGGAAGCCACTTAAAAGTCTCCACTTTTAAAATGAAGACGCTTGTTAACCATAAAGAATCTATATGCATGTTATTTGGAACAGAAGTGGAATGTGACAAACACAATTGGGAAAACTCGGATAAAATGAAGAGGAGGCTATTCTAGGGAAAAGCTACCCCACAGTCAGGCTGGATCTGCCTAGAAATTTATCAGAGGGTCGTCAGCTCCTGTAAGCTGTTTCTGAGTCTCACAGATCTTTCCCTTCTGAAACAAAGTGCTATTTCAAGTCTGAAGATTCTCTCTCTTCCCCACCAATGAGTTTACATGACAGCAGCAATAACTCTCTGATTAAGCCTAGGCTACGTTTTATAAATTAGCTCTTAACTCTGGCAGGCCTTGCATTATTGCAGAATTTCAAAAATTTTGGAAGAAAGGCTGTAAAGGGAGTATGCCTCAGCAAAGTTAATCAGTATGTCTGGTAATCAAGTAAAGCCTTGAGTGATAATGGTCAAAGTCAGAATTACAATGGGTTGGCTAGTACGAAGGGTCCTTCAAGATTGTAGGTTCCCAAGGAGGATATTCTGATTTTCATTTCTACCACCGGACTGGTAGGAAGGAAACCAGGATGATGAATTTGCTTGCCCTGCTTTGACCCAGGACCCTTCTTTTCTTGCTTTCTCCTTAGTGTTGAGATAATAAGATTGGGCAACAGCTTCTATATCAACTGGGATCGGAGGATGTTTTATGAACTAAAGAACACACCAGCACGGGCTTGTACCACCACCCTTAATGAGGAGCTCGGCCAGGTCAAATACGTGTTCTCCGACAAAACAGGGACCCTGACTCAGAACATCATGATTTTCAACAAGTGTTCTATTAATGGGAAATTCTATGGTATGCATATTTTTCTGCTTTCCCTGAGTCTTGGGGAAATATTACTTTGCAGATTGTTCTCAAGAATGATCTATCTCTAAATCTATATGCCTCTAAATTCACATTTACTTCTTAGTCTCACAACCTGCCCTGTTCACTAAGCAAAGCTCACCTAGCCCATTCAGTTCTAACCAAAAGCATTTATTTAGCACCTTTTAGATGCAATCCATTGTGTTGGATGTTGAAAATGTGAAGATGTATAAGAATTAATCTCCGTCCTCAAGGAATTCCCAATGTCTGGGCAATGTTAGTTACTCTCACATTAAATCAGATGGTGCAACCAGCATATTTCTGAAGCTGCTATTCTCCTGATTCCCGCTCAGACCAATAAACACTCTAGAAAGAAGCCATCAAAGGGTATTCAGAGTTTGATGTGTCTCCCAGGCCCAGTTATTCATTTATTTCCTGCCTTAGGCATAAGCTTGTTTTTGTGATAGTGTTAAGTCCTTATATGTGTGAACATTCATGCCCACTGCACTAACTAGCTAAGGAAGGCAATCACATCTAAAAAGATAGACGCGTGGGGTGTTTCTCTGGGATTATGAAAAAGCTTTGAAACTAGGAAGATATGATAGTTGCAAAACCTTGTGAATGCACTAAATGCCCCTGAATTGTACACTTTAAAATGGTTACTTGTATGTTATATGAATTTCACCTCAATTAAAAAATTTTTAAGTTAAATTTTAAAAATAAAAAAATTAAAGTCAAAATGTTAAAAAAAGCTAGAGCACTCTAATATTTTCTATTACCCCTGCCAAACAAGTTTTCACACGTATAAACTCTGAAAGCTTATTTTTGGATGGTTGATTTGGGTGAGGATCTTAATTTTCTTACTCATTGTATGACCTGACCATATACTGGGTAAGGGTAAGGATAAGGTTGAAAAGGGTCATGGGTGTTTCTACGCTTGGCATCAGACTGTCTTCCACCCCCATTCTGTCTATGCTGTCTACTGGCCAAGAATCCTAAACATTCCAGCACTACTTTCACACGTATCCTCTGGGTAACTTTTCTGATTGAAAGGCTTCCGGAGGTACGAAGTCTCTCATAAATAACTAGCCTCCAGCCTCAACTCACTCACACTTAAGGAGAAGAATTGCACCCCAAGCAGCATTATTCTTACCATTGGCTTGAGGAAAGGAGCTCATAGGGCACTGAGAGCTAGGTGGCCTGAGGGGATTCGAGGAGCTTAACTGCAAGTCTAGGATGATAGAATCAGAAGGAATAAGCTTTTAAAAATCCTCCTTTAAATTACCATATGACCCAGTAATTCCATTCCAAGGTATATACCAAAAAAAAAGAAAAGAAAAGAAAAAGAAAACAGAGATTTAAACAGATAGAGGTATGCCAGTGTTCACTGCAGCATTATTCACCATAGACCAAAGGTAGAAACAACCCATGTGTCCATCAACAGATGAATGGGTAAACTAACGGTGGTATATCCATGTAATGGAATACTCAGACATAAAAAATAATGAAGTTCTGACACATGCTACAACATGGATGATTCTTGAAAACATTATGCTAAGTGAAATACACCAGACACAATAGGAAATATTGTATCATTCTACTTATATGAAATATCTAGAATAGGCAAATTCATAGAGACAGAAAGCAGATTAGAGGTTACCAGGGGCTGGGAATAGGGAAGGGTAAGGAGTTTTTGTTTAGGATGCTGAAAAAGTTTAGGAAATATATAATGGTGATGGTTGACCAACATTGTGAATGATGTTAATGCCACTGAATTGTTCACTAAAAATGGTTAAAATGAAAAATTTTATGTTATACATATTTTACCACAATAAAAAAATGTAAACCCTTCTTTAAAACCCTTGCCAAATGTGTATTCTATTTACTTACCAACAGGTGTTGTCTATGACAAGAATGGACAGAGGGTAGAAGTCTCGGAGGTGAGTGATTACAGCGCCCTGTGAAATGCATGTGGGACCTGAGTGAGGCTGCGCCGCACAGCAGCATCTTTAACACAGATTGGGATTCCCTTAGCCCCTGAAATATTACAGCTGTTATTGGCCCCATAATATCAGAAAGTATTATATAAATGAACTCTGTTTATTGGAGGGTATTTGGGTTTGTGTTTTTAAATGAAAATAGCTTATTATAAGAAGGTGATTATATATAAATAATATATAAATTTTTTTAAAGTAAGGAAATGTCTGAAGAAACCAGCAAAGGGATGAATCCTTGAGCTCATAAAAATGATCTAGGAGAGCAAATGAATAGTGGTTTAAGATACTTTTTCGGAAGACATTACATTACTTGAGAATAAATTCTAATTCTACATATGAATATTATTTGTTTTCTGAATAGTGCTATTAAAATTTCTTTTAAACACAAATAAATTAATTAATTAAAAATGAAAACAGCTTTATTGGCTTTTCTATTTAAAAAATTATCTGTGCTCATGATAAAAAAAAATTCAAACAATATAGAAATGTATGAAGAAGAAAATTAAAATCATTCAGTCCCATTTAGATAACCAGTGTAAAATCTGGGAATATTTATCCTTTCAGATGTTTTTCATATGTATATATACACACATATACACCTAGGTCTAGTAGGTAGGTAGGTATGTAGGAAGGAAGGATGGATGGATGGATCGTAGCATGCATGCTATTTTCAGCCTCCTTTTATTCACTTGACACTATATTGTGGCCCTCCTTCCGTGTCAGTATATTTAGGTCTACATCATCATTTTGAATGGCTGTCGTAGCCAATTACATTGATGTATCTTAATTGATTTAGCCAATCCCCTATTTTTATTCTGTTGTCTTTTGCTATTATAAATAGCATTATGATAAGCATCCAGGTACATACATTTTTGTCTCCTCTTCTGAAAATTATTTCCTTAGAATAAAGTCCTGGAAGTAAAATTAGTTGGTCAAAGGGTGGCTAGATTTTTAATGCACTTAATAGCGCCATACTGCTCTCTGGATAGACTGCATCAATTTATAATCCCACCAAAAAAATATGAGAATTCCTCTTTTCCCATACTGTATCCTTGTCAGTACTGGGTATTAATATTTCAATCTTTGGAAATTTAATTGTGAAAATCATATCTCATTTAATTTACCTTTCTTTGATTACTAATCAGATTGAATCATTTTATGTGCTTATTTTCCTTCCTCTTCCCAATCACTTTATTGCCCATTTATACTTCTTTTGTGAATTGCCTGTTCACATTCTTTGTCCTTTTTTTCTTATTTCAAGGGGCTCCTTATATAGTAAAAATACCAACTTTTCCTTCGTCTGGCACATATGTTACAATTATTTTTTTCCATTTTTGTTTTTTGGCTTTTGTTTAAAGTTTTTTGTTTAGAAGTTTTTAATTTATGTAATTAATTCTACCAGTCTTTCTCCTTTATAGCTTCAGGATTTATGACATACTCAATAGTCCTAACCCACACAATTGTAAGAATATTTTCCTTTTCATTCTTCCTGTCTCTGGCTGGTTCAATTTTACTGTTTTTTCCAGTATTGGATCTCAACTTTTGTTTATGGGTTTGATTTTAAGCATCCCTTCATAGGGCTTCTTCCATTACATTCAGGATACTACTCACCCTATCGCTTTCCTACTAGAACCAATTCCAAACCTTTAGCCACTTGACTTACGTACTAACAGGTAACTCCAGCTCCCAACTACTGCCTCACCCTTATCCATCCAGAGAGATTGGAAATGGGGAATAAAATCAGTATTTGCCTTAAATCCTCTTCCAGGGACTTTGCTAATGACCTTGGCAATATAAACAAAGTTATAGCTTCTAGGGAGTAAATTGTTACCCTGGAGTTACCTTTCTCTTCCTCCTCCTTTTGCTACTGATCGACCATAACACATTTTCCTCTGGATCCCTGGAATCTTTGTTCTCTTGTAAGCAAACACCCACAGCCTTATCTTTTCATAAAAATGCTTTCTTCTCTCTACCTTGATTGAAAGATGACTTTCCCGGAGGATATCCCTTTTCCTCCATCTCTCGTACTCCGCATACCAAAATTCCAAAGGTATTGTCCTCATTATCCTGTGCCACTTTTCCTTTTTTTTTTTTGGCTGCCTTGGGTCTTCATTGCTGCGCATGGGTTTTCTCTAGTTGCAGCGAGCGGGGGCTACTCTTTGTTGCAGTGCACGGGCTTCTCATTGCAGTAGCTTCTCTTGTTGCAGAGCACGGGTTCTAGGAGCACAGGCTTCAGTAGTTGTGGCACATGGGCTCAGTAGTTGTGGCTCACGGGCTCTAGAGCACAGGGTCAGTAGTTGTGGTGCACGGGCTTAGTTGCTCCGCGGCATGTGGGATCTTCCCGGACCAGGGCTTGAACCCGTGTCCCCTGCACTGGCAGGCAGATTCTTAACCACTGTGCCATCAGGGAAGCCCATCCTGTGCCACTTTTAAACTATTACTTTTCCTCCCTCATATAATCTTTCTTCCTGGGATGCTTATGACTTCTAGCTATATTCCTTTTTCTTCTTGTTGTTGACATTTACAAATCTTCTGGCTTCTCCACTTCATTCACTGAGGACCTTGAAACCTTAGCTCATATTTCCCCTCTCTACCCAATCCCTGCTGTCATCTTGGGTGGTATTGGCTTATTTACGGATGATCTAGCAACATAGATGCTTTCAGATGTCTAAAAGAATATATCTTTCAAATGACTTTTTGGACTCAAAAAAACCTATATCATCCATTTCTATGTTATCATGTCACCATCCAGAAGTGTACTACTCTCAAATTGTAAACTCCTTTGTCATGATCTCTGATCACAAACCTTATTTTTCCAGTTCTCTTGATACTTGATTCCTAGTATACCTGCTTTCTTATCAAAGGAAGATTTACAAACTCTCTGTTCTCCTTTTTCTCTATCAATCCCTTGTGACTTTACTTCCTGTCCTATCTTGCCCCGCATCTGTACCCAAGATCATAAGCATCTTCAATACCTTACTAGTTCTCCCTTTTTTTCCCCTCTCTGGTCGCCCAACAAATCTCAACCTTGAATTAACCAAGCCAAGAAACCATTCTCTGTTTCTAATCTCAGAATGCCAAGCACTTTTTGGGGATCACAAGCCATTACAAATTCAGAGACTCCAAACTCTTCTGGGCTTCCGGTGCCACTTGGATAATTTTTTAATCTATTTATGGTGAGCTTAATTCTTAATTTTCCATATTAGCTATTCCAAACTTCACCACTCTTGGGCCTTCTACCACATCCCACTCCCTTCTCCCCAGTGTGCAGTAGATGATATTGTTTTCTACTTTGCTGAGAAAAATCCAAACTATCAGCTAAGTACCCTTTTCTGTACAAATATCAGAACCCACCTTTACCTCCTTTCCTTCAGTCTCAACAAAAGGTATAACTTTTTCTTTCAATACTAATCTCCTCATATATTCTGATTCCATGCCTTTCTACTTCTTCAGGAACCTCAGTCAATCCTGTATTCTATTTTTCTTAATATCTGAAACTTATCCCATTATATGATTCTTTCCCCTCAGCTCAAATCTATCCCTTCTTTTAAAAAACAAACAAACAAACAAAAAACACTTACTACATACATACAATGGAATATTATTCAGCAATAAAAAGAAATGAGCTATTAAGCCACGCACACACATATACACAGAAAAGGGAAGAACTTTAAATGCATATTGCTAAGTGAAAGAAGCCAATATGAAAAGGCTGTGTACTGTATGATTCTAACTGTATGATATTCTGGAAAAGGTAGTAGTTGCCAGGGGTTTGGGGAGGGGAGAGAAGGATGAAGCACAGGAGATTTTTAGGGCAGTGAATCTATTCTGTATGATACTGTCATGGTGGATTCATTACATTATGCATTTGTCAAAAACCACAGAATTGTACAAAGCAGAGTGAACTCTAGTGTAAACTATGGACTTCAGTTAATAATAATGTATCAATATTGGTTCATCAATTGTAACAGATGTACCATACTAATGTAAGGTGAAAATAGGGGGAAATGTGGAGTGGAAAGAAGAAAGGAAATATATAGGAACTCTCTGTACTTTCTGCTCAATTTTTTTTTATGAATGTAAGACTGCTCTAAAAAATATAATATTAAGTTAAAATAAAATAAATGTGTTAAAGTAACCCTTAGCCCATTAACCAGAGGTAACCACTACTAATAAATGTTTATATCTTATTTTATTCATTTTTTAAAGCAGTTAGAACTTTTCCTTCATCCTGCATTACCCTCTGACTCCATCAGTCAGTCCAAAATGTTCAACCATATGTATCAACCATATGTCAGACTCTGAATAAATGTTAAAGGTTCAAGGAAAACAAAGGAAATTTGTTCCCTACCTTCAGAGTTGGCAGACTAGAGGAAAAGTGTATAAGGAAATAGACAATTACAGCAGTCTTTATAACTCCTCACCTTTCATTCATTCTTCATTCTACCCTATATAATTAGACTCTGTCCTATCATGTCCACTGAAACTAGCCAAGGTCACAAATGACTACCTTGTTGTTAAGTCCTTACCCTATTTCTCTGCAGATTTTAACACTTAAAACTCCACTTTTTATTAAAGCTCTCTTGTCCCTTGGCTTCTGTTAAGTAACTCTCTTCTTGTGTTTTCTTCCTGTATGATTGTTTTTCTCATCTTCTTGGCCATAGGTAGTGATGTTCCCCCAGAGCTCTATTATTGTACCTCTTTTCCATCTTTATAGTCTCGTGTTTTTACTGACTTTAACTACTGCCTACTTACTAATGACCTCCAAATCCATATATCCAAGAACCTTTTTAGCTCCCTCCCTATCCATGACCAAAGCTAAAGATATCCTATAAAAACTATCTATAGCTATGTCACAGAATCCCAAAGAGTATCCTCAATTGCCTCCTCTACCCTCCATTCTGAATTCGTTTCTTCTCATCTCATACCCCCGGTTTCCATCCTTTTGTCTAGTACCTGGATTTGCCATTCAGTCTTATTCAACTGGGTGTTTAACTTTCAATTGCAGAGTAATTCATTAATACTGCTCCTCAGATCATGCTGTACTGCAGCTCCAAGCCAGCCCTGCCTCAGTCCTGTACCCAGCCAGGTCCAGTGTTCTCAAACATTACTTGTCTGGAAGGGGAGATTAGAAACTAGCTCAGATCTCTTACCTGAGCTTCAAAACTATATATGCCTGCTTTCATTATTACCTTTATGTCCTTCAGGTATCGCCAGGTCAGTCTGTCAAAAATCTCCTCCTGCTGGGTATCCTATCTCAGTGAATGGTCTTACCATCTATCCCAATTAGGATACATAAAATTATTCTTAACTGTTTCTCTCTTTCACTTGTCATATCCATGTCATCAAATTCTATATTTTGAAATCATACCCTTAATTTAATATTTATTGTCACTAGTTTATCATTTCTCTTGTGAATTACTGAATGGCTTTCTAACTGGTCTCCTTGCTTTTCGTCTTGCTACTTCCAATATATTCTCCATGCTGCTACCAGAGGACTATATGATCATATGACTTTCAGCAGAAAATTGTTATGGTTCCCTATTGCATACAAGATGGTAATGCAGGATCTGCTTCATATCTACCTCTCCAACTTCTCTCACATCACTCACCAGCTTCTAAGTTTCAAAGAATGTACCAGTACAAGAGCCCAGTTATAGAAGAGCCTCAGAGGATGCTATATAATGAGTTATCTTAAATTACTAAACCCACAAACTTCCCAGAGCTCACAAGTCTGTGGTTGGCCAGGTCTAGGACTTGGCTCTGGACCTGACCATACTTCCTCAGTACCATGACAAAACTCCCTCTAGATGGGTTATAGAAAAGAGCCAGTATAGCCCACTACAAACTTCCGTTTCCCCAACATAGCACCAAGCAGCGCAATTGTGTCTGTACTTGACACATTGGGGCCCAGCCCAGGTAGCACCACAACTACAATGAACTGGTGAAATATCCTTGAGAGTTCTGATATGGGCTGGAGAAATCTGTTAATAACACCGCACTCCAGGGTGGGCATAAGAGAGTCTCAGGACCAAATTGAGCCAGAAAAGAATGTTTACCCCAGGTGCCTACCAGCAGCCTACCTGACATGAAGAACATTAGTCAACATCTAAAGGAGCCAAGCTCATAGCCAGGAAAATGGTAGTGAATATTAATATTAGGTCCACAGATTGAGGCAGGGTCGATAACCTTGAGGACTAGAGGCAGGAAGGAATCAGGTATGCTGAATCAGGTATGCAAAATGGTATAAAATGAAGTCTGTGAACAAGAAGTCTGTACTGAAGCTTCCTTGTTATACAGCCTTGCCTCTGTCTTGCAATGTTTCTCTCTAGCTCCCTTGTGGGGTAAAATAGGGATAGTGCAACACAGTGATGTCATTGTACCTAGCTCCCTTCCCAGTTCCCAAAATCAGGCAGAGGACAGCCAGAGACAAGACTTTTTCCAGAAACCGTTTACTAATAGGGAACAGTTACTCTCTCATGTCCTCAGGTTTGATTTATCATGGATTTGGGACTTGGAAGAATAGAGCCTGAAGATGGCCACTAATCATTCAGGATAGCTGGAGTAGAAAGAGGGCAAGAAGGGTCTGCCAAGCAGTGCTAGCTTGTCTCCTGTGTGATGGATCTTCTCCAAGTGAATGGATGGACCAGGTCAGAGCCACAGAGGCTTAGAAACCAGCACAGGGTCTCTTTCACTTATCTTCCTTTTCTTTTCCCATCCTCCTAAGAGTTTTCATCACATTCCAGAAATTGCCCCCAGGTCGACCTTCTATAAAGTGTCAAGCTGCTGTTTGTTCTGGCTTATGTGTTCCAGAAAACAGAAAAAGTCGACTTCTCCTACAACAGACTGGCTGATCCTAAGTTTTCATTTTATGACAAGACTTTGGTGGAAGCAGTGAAAAGGGGAGATCGCTGGGTACACTTGTTTTTCCTGTCACTCTCATTGTGTCATACCGTGATACCAGAAGAGAAAGTAGAAGGTGAGAAGGGGCTTGAGGCCTCATGGACTGAGAATATGTCATAGAGTCTAGGCTGATTGGCGGGGGGGATGGTTTGATATCATTTGTAATGGTTTAATCTAAAGAACTTTCTAATAGGAAGAGTTGTCCAGCAATGGAATGGATAGTCAAGATAAGTAGTGGGCTCCTAGTCACTGAATATATTCAAGTGGAAAACAACGTCTTTGTCTTAAAGAAGATTCATTCATTGGATAGGGGTCAAACTTGGTGCTCTCTAGCGAGCTTCGGATCTTGAGACTCTGTAATATTCTGTCACAGAGTTTATCTGATTTATTGCCAAGATCAACCCCACTACCTCTGATAAGACTTCCTGAAGGATGAGTTGAGTCATCCTCTTGTTGCTTCACAATTTAAAGGTATCCCCATATACCCTAATTTCTTTAGTAACCAAATATGACTATGTCATCCATGAATTTATCAAAATCTTTTTCAGAAATTACTGATTTTAAATTAAGAAGACTTTTTTCCTTAGCAAACAAGAATTTAGGCAGCCAAGTAAATCACATCCTTCAAAGTCAATGTAGTCTTAATATAATACCACCATGAGTAACACCTTATATTTGTACATCACTTTATAATTTTACAAGTTGCTTTCATTTATATTACCTTCCACAATCTTCACAACAGCCCTCTGCAGAACAAGAAAAATGCTCCTAGTTTTATAGCAAAGGAAACTGAAGCTAAAAGAAATTAAGTGCTGTACAGAAGAAACTAACACAGCATTGTAAAGCAACTATACCCCAATTTTTAAAAAAAGACATTGTGACGACTAAAATCCTATAGCTAAGAAAGGTATAAATGGGATAAGAACCCAAATCTCATGTCTTCTGGCCCCATGAGCTCCCACCCTTCCACAAGCCTCTCCGGGTCTGATATTCCAACAAGTTGGTATTACTTGAAGCATATTTGGACTTGTCTATGTTTACTGCCTTGAGTGACAAGGTAGGAAACACACAAGAAAGTAATCTTGTTATCCCATAGACACATCTTATGTCTGACTTAAAATTATACTCCCCCACCTACCTTATTCACAAGTATAAGATTCTGATGATGTATAACTGTTTTTAAAACTCAAATTAACCTTCAAAAGAGAAATAATCTAAAATATATCTCAGGTTATGGGGATTATTCTAAAAGAGGAGTTCCAGAAATGTCTTGAGTAATATCAGATTGAAAGATTGATTCAACAGAGTAAGTCATTTACCTTCCCAGGGTGAGAGTTTCAAAGGTGACAATACTCATTCATATATATATATTTTTTAATTGTTTACTAAACTATCAATCTTATTACCTTATAGCAGTGTTCATCAAAGTGCAGCCAGTCCTATGCAGGAGCACTTTATGTAGGACCATATGCATGAGACTCACTCAGGAGATTTGTTAAAATTCAATTTCCTGGGCCATCCTCCCAGATTTTGTGATTCTGGATTCAGTAAGTTTGGGTGGGGCCCAGGAACCTTCATTTTTAACAATCTCCCGAGCCATCTTTACCCGCTAAAGTTGGAAAGCAACTGCCTATGTTTCGTTTGTACACATGTTCTGTGTACTTCTGTAATACTAACTCAGGTCTGTGAAATGAGTTGAGAATATGGGAAAGAATGAAAAACCTGACCTGTTCTATGCAACCTGGCCTTTTAGGGCCAGGCTTGGGTGGAAATTTTGAAGAAAGATGTCCCCTCCTGGGCTCCATCTTTATGTAAGCCACTTGGAAGACAATCTCACTTCTGGGTGGACTTCATCTGCACATCTCTATGGGCTCTGGCTGCTCTCTTCTCTCCTGCCAGGTGAGCTGACTTACCAGGCTCAGTCCCCAGATGAAGGTGCCCTGGTCACTGCTGCCAGGAACTTTGGCTTTGTGTTCCGTTCCCGCACGTCTGAGACAATCATGGTAGTCGAAATGGGGGAAACCAGAATCTACCAACTACTGGCTATTTTGGACTTCAACAGTGTGCGCAAGAGGATGTCTGTTATTGGTGGGTGCCCCTCCTAGTCGGCCCTCTCCCCTTATTTGTCTTTCATATACATTCACACGTTGACTTTCCCCTCTATCTACACACAAATGTTTTCTCCTGCCCACATGCCATTTCACAGGCACTCTGCCTCAAATACAAATACATAGCCATTCCCACTTTCTCTCTCATAATCCTTTATGTTTTCTTATATACACATATGTGAGCTTACTGCCATGTGCTAGGGCCCTTATTTAGTGATCCTGGGTAGTAGCTTGTCAGAACCCTCAAAGCCAAGATAAGAACAGAGAATAAACCCATAAAGCCTGAACTTGGAATAAGAAATGGGGGCAGACAATATAGAGGAAATTAATATTATCTTGCTCTCAGTTAGTTTGGGCCTCAGGCTGAAGAGGAAGAAAGTCATTTTTCATCCTTGGTCCTTATTAGGTGTGGGCCTTGGTCTGGAACTTGGACTTGAGAAGCTAAATGTGATTCTGTATCAGAGTCTTCCATAGGTGATACTGAACCCATGGAAAAACTGGTTCCAAAAGGTCCTCTCTCATTCTCACCAGCCCTCACCACATCACTCATCCTGTGTGACCACTCATTGAGTGCTTAGCCCCCAAAGGTGTCAGAAACAAATGTCATGGGAACAGCCTCCTGCCATCTCTCAGTGGCCCAGACAAGTTCTTGTAATAATGGACCTATATGGTTACTTTGCTTAATTTGCTTATCCTTAGTGAGGACACCTGAAGATCGCGTAATGTTATTCTGCAAGGGTGCAGACACGATCCTCTGTCACCTACTTCATCCATCCTGTAGATCCCTCAGAGATGTGACCATGGAACATTTAGATGTAAGTGTTTAGGTTGCAGGGGAGGGAAGCTGTGGATGGATCTGTGTATCTGTGTCCATATATATGTCCCCATGTCAGTGTGTTTCAGTATGGGGTACATTGGTGTCTGTGTCTCTTTAATTGATAGAAGAATAAAAACTACCTCATTCTGTGGGATTCTCACTGACCACATTGCCACCTTCTGTGTGAAGGAGTTGGGTGGCCCAGGATCCCAGGGGAATGATGAGGATTGTGTTGTGGGAACACTTACCACAGTCAGAACAGTTCATTCTATGATTCCTGGCTCGGGAGGTCCTGTGGTCACATCTAGAATTTGCTTCAGAATAGGGCCTGCTGGACTTCCCTGGTGGCACGGTGGTTAAGAATCTGCCTGCCGGGGCTTCCCTGGTGGCACAGTGGTTGAGAATCTGCCTGCTAATGCAGGGGACACGGGTACAAGCCCTGGTCTGGGAGGATCCCACATGCCGCGGAGCAACTGGGCCCGTGAGCCACAACTACTGAGCCTGTGCATCTGGAGCCTGTGCTCCGCAACAAGAGAGGCCGCGATTGTGAGAGGCCCACGCACTGCGATGAAGAGTGGTCCCCACTTGCCACAACTGGAGAAAGCCCTCACACAGAAACGAAGACCCAACACAGCAAAAATAAAGTCATTAATTAATAAACTCCTACCCCCAACATCTTCTTAAAAAAAGAAAAAAAAAAGAATCCACCTGCCAATTCAGGGAACACGGGTTCAAGCCCTGGTCCAGGAGGATCCCACATGCTGTGGAGCAACTAAGCCCGTGCGCACAACTACTGACCCTGTGCTCTAGAGCCCACGAGCCACAACTACGGAGCACGCGTGCCACAACTACTGAAGCCTGCACACCCTAGAGCCCGTGCTTTGCAACAAGAGAAGCCACCGCAATGAGAAGCCCGCACACCGCAACGAAGAGTAGCCCCCACTCGCCGCTACTAGAGAAAGCCCGCGTGCAGTAATGAAGACCCAACGCAGTCAAAAATTAATTAATTAATTAATTAATTAATTAAAAGAATAGGGCCTGCTGGTATGGGAGGCCCCACCCCACCAGCCATGATGGGAAAAGACTGCTTTTAGGGTATGGAGCAGAAGGCACCAGGCCTGGGCTGTGTAGAGGACTGTTTGACACCGTCCTATGTTATTTACAGGATTAGAATCCCCATGGTTACCTACCTACCCCACCCCACTTCCACCCTCTGGGACTTGAGATATATCAGAAAGAGAGATTGGCTTCAGTCTGCTGACATTAGAAGGGAAAACCAGATTCATGCTCGCTGGGGTTTCTACCCTTAAACCTGGATATATAAAGGGTTGGGGGAATAGGACAGGGGATGTGATGGGGAAGGGGCAGATCAGAAAAATATTTTAAAGAAGAAATAGGTTGGAGGAAGTGCTATTTTATTAGGGCCATTTTGGCTTGGCCCCACGTTAACTCATAGAAGTCAGAGAGCAAATGGCCAGAAGGCACATGTAAAGATGTTCAGTGTCAGCCATCAGGGAAAAGCAAATCAAAAATCACAAGACACTACTTCACACCAGTAGGGTAGTTAAAATCGAAAAGATGATCAGACAATAATGAGCACTGCCAAGGATATAGAGAAATTGTAACCTTCATACATTGCTGACAGGAATGTAAAATGATGCAACCATTTTGTAAAACAGTCTGGCATTTCCTGAAAAAGTTAAGCATAGAGTTGTCATATGACCCAGCAATTCCACTCCTAGGTATATTCCCAAGAGAAATGAACATTTATATTCACACAAAAACGTGTACACTAATATTTATAGCAGCATTAGTCATAATAGCACAAAAGTAGAAACAATCCAGATCCCCATCAATGGATGAATGGATAAATAAAATATGATAAATCTGTACAGTGAATATTATTCAGTCACAAAAGGGAATGACATACTTATAAATGCTACAATGTGGATAAACCTTGAAAACATTATGCTAAGAGAAAGAAGCCAGTCACAAAAGGCCAATATTTTACGATTTCATTTATATGACATGTCCAGAATAGGCAAATCCGTAGAACAGAAAGTAGATTAGTGGTTACCAGGGGCTAGAAGAAAACGGAATGGAAATGACTGCTGACGGGTACAGGGTTTCTTCGGAGGTGATGAAAATGTTTGGGAATAAGATAATAGTGATGGTTGCACAACTTTATGAATATATATATATTTAAAAACCGCTTAATTGTATACTTTAAAAGGGTAGATTTTATGGTACATACATTGTATCTCAAGTTTTTGAAAAAGTCATTGAAGCGTCCCACATAGGACAACTCTTATGTCTTATACTGGTTTCCTGAGGCCACAGTTTTGCTTTTTTGGTATGTGTGTGTGTGTGTGTGTGTGTGTGTGTGTGTGTGTGTGTGTGTGTTTTATGGGCTACTCTGAAAACTTGTCTTTTAACCTTCCAGAACTCATGAATCAGGGTATCTTCTCAATGAGCATATATTCCACAGACTGGCTTCAAAGAGGGGTCATAAAACTATTTCAGATCTTTTGACCTGCTTCCAACCTTAACAGATACCCATAGTAGAGCCTAAAACACTACAATCTATTAACCACTGAGGATACACCTATAATAGTCAAGTTCCAGAAACCCACTCATGCAGAAGCACAGCTCCAAGCCCTCTAAGACAGGAATCCAGCAAACAGTCACACAAAAACAAGCAGCAGTCATAATTTGGCCCCAGGGCCCCAGTTTTCCCACCACAAGAGAAAAAAAAAACATACTAGTAAGGGATAAGTAAAAAATAATGTTAACACAGGCTGCTAAAGTATTCGTTGAGTGGATTAGGAATCTGTCAGTGTATTGCTAAGCTTGCCAAGTCCTCTTATCAGTATCGTGCAAAATCAGTTTCTGCCATATCTCTTCCTTCTTTTTTTTTTTAAATGGCTGATGTTGGGGCTTCCCTGGTGGCGCAGTGGTTGAGAATCTGCCTGCCAATGCAGGGGACACGGGTTCAAGCCCTGGTCTGGGAAGATCCCACATGCCGCGGAGCAACTGGGCCCGTGAACCATAACTACTGAGCCTGCACGTCTGGAGCCTGTGCTCCGCAACAAGAGGCCGCGACAGTGAGAGGCCTGCACACCACGATGAAGAGTGGCCCCTGCTCGCTGCAATTAGAGAAAGCCCTCACACAGAAACGAAGACCCAACACAGCCAAAAATAAAATAAATAAATTTATAAAATGGCTGATGTATATTTTAAATTGCTGAATATTTATTTATTTATTTATTTATTGAGGTAAAATTGGTAGATGACATTATATAAGTTTCAGGGGTACACTATTATAATTTGATTTTTATATTCACTTCAAAGTGATCACCACTTTGTCTAGTTATCACCCATCACCATACAATTGACCCCCTTCACCTATTTCACCCACCCCCCCAATCCCTTTCTTCTCTAGCAACCACCAATCTGTTCTCTGTATCTATGAGTTTGTGTTTTGTTTGTTCATTTGTTTGTTTTTTAGATTCCACATATAAGTGAAATCGTTTGGTGTTTGGTCTTTCTTTATCTGATTTATTTCACATAGCGTAATACCCTCAAGGTCCATCCATCTCGTCACAAATGGCAAGATTTCTACTTTTTGTGGCTGTGTAGTATTCCATTCGTCAATGGACATTTAGGTTGCTTCCATATCTTGCCTGTTGTAAATAATGCTGCAGTGAACACAGGGGTGCATGTATCTTTTTGAATTAGTGATTTCATATTCTTTGGATAAATACCCAGAAGTGGAAGAGCTGGATCTGGATCATATGGTGATTCTATTTTTAATTATCAAAAAGACAAATAACAAAGGTTGGAGAGGATGTGGAGAAAAGGGAACCCTCATACACTGTTGGTGGGAATATAAACTGGTAAAACCACTATGGAAAACAGTATGGAGATATTTCCTTCTTAAGAAGTCTCTTGAGATCTTCTCTCAGCCTTCCTTTTTATAGCTTCACCTGCCAACAGTACAGAGGTTTAAGAGTAGCATTCTCTGCAGATACTGCCTTATATTAATTTTACCTGACAGCTAAATGAAGTACTCAGGAGTTACACAGAGAACTAAGAACAAAATATCAAGATGATAAATTCTGTTTCTATTTGCTCTTATAATGCCAAAGTGAATAATTTTGAGGCTCACTATTAAGTTATTATGGGGACTTCCCTGGCAGTCCAGTGGTTAAGACTTCACCTTCACTGCAGAAGGCACGTGTTTGATCCCTGGCCGGGGAGCTAAGATCCCACGTGCCACGCACAGTGCAGCATCTAAAAAAAAAAAAAAAAAACAACAGTGATTATGTAGAATTGTTATTCATGTGCAATTCTCAACACACAAAATCTGCTTCTAACCCTCCTTCAGTTAAATATGAATTGTGCCCTAAACTACCCACACTCTCACCTAGCTTTCCTTATAACCAAGAGTATACTTCCGTAAGATAGTTAGCTATGCGTGGTTAGGATATATTGGTGGCCAAAGGGCAAAAGATGCTGACTCACCCAGAGAGCATTTCAGCAGTGGCCTCATTAACACTACTGGCAATGACTAATTAACTGAGCCACCCAGCTGTAGACAAATACACAAATTTGCTATTTGAGATGCCCATTGAATACCTGATGAACGAAGGCAGGGAGAGATGAAAATAAATAAATGTAAGCCTGTAAAAAAACAGTAACACCCTTGATTATTTATTATAAGAATTCCTTTGTACTTTATTACTCTCTTCTTTCTCATCTTATAGACATCATTATCTTCTCTTTAGAGGGTGAATTATTATCCCAATTTTACAAGAAATAAATCTAGAAGGCGTCATTCTTTACGAGGGTCGCACAGCAAATTACCTAACCACAGGTGGAAGTTAGAATCTGCTGTCTCTCAGAAGTACTCTCAGCCTTTATCCCCAGCTATGCTGGCACGATCCTTAGGACGTTTGACTGAGAAAACTGAACAGGTGCTTTCTGGTTAGGCTAGGTACTAGCCCTGTGATATTAACCAATAAACCCTATCTTGCAGGCAGATGGAGCCTGTGGGGTTACTCTGTCATTCCTTAACTCAGCCCTAACCCAGCCCAAGTGCACACATGTCTTCCAGGATTTTGCCAGTGATGGCCTTCGCACCCTCATGGTGGCCTACCGAGAACTGGACAATGCATTCTTCCAGGACTGGAGCAGGAAGCACAGTGAAGCCTATCTGTCTTTGGAGAATCGGGAAGATAAAATATCAATGGTCTGTGAAGAGATCGAAAAAGACCTGACGGTTAGTGTGAGGAAGCCAGGGACAGATTGGAGGCAGGATTGGGGGCGGGGGACCAGTCAGGAGACTGAGCAAGGGCTCTGAGAATGGCTTCCAGCAAATCATAGGTTCAGGCTCTCTCTGGATACTAGATACTGGAATCCAAGCTGATTCAGGATATCTTGGATCTTTGAAATCCATAAAGAAGGTAAGAATGTACTTGTTGTAAATTTCATCTTTCTGGTAGTGTTTCTTATCCCAAAGCTGTCCACAGAAGCTAAGAAATCTGGAAGAAATCAGGGTCTGAATAATGTACAAATTAGATGATCCAGAACTAATTGATGGAATAATCAAGACAATAATGTTCACTCATTCATTCAACATATTTGTTAAGTGCCTCCTATGTGCCAGGTACTGTTTTAAGCCCTGAGCATGTAGTAGTAGGCAAAACAGACAAAAAAGTAATATATATACAGTATGTTAGGTGATGACAGTTCTATGGAAGAAAATAAAGCCAGGAAGAAAGGTAGGGAGTATCAGCATATGTGTGTGTATTGTAGAGGGTAGAGTATAATTGCTATTTTAAATAGGGTGCTTAGTCTTCACTATGAAGGAGACATCTGAGCAGAGACCTGAAGAAGGTAGCAAACCAAGCAGATCTCTGGGGAATCAGTTTTCCAGAAAGAAGGAACAGCAAGAACAAGGACTCTGAAATAGGAGCAGACCTAATTTGTTAGTAGAACAGTAAGGCAGCTCATGTGGCTGGTACAGTGTAAGTGAGGAGGAGACAATAAAAGGACATGAAACAGAGAAGCAGTAAGGGGTCTTGACAGGCCCGTATAAAGACTTATAGTAAGCCATGGAAAACAGTTGAAGAGTTCAACCAGAGAAGTGAGGTGATAGCTTTTAAAATGATCAGTCTGGCTGCCACGTTGAGATTATACTGTAGGGGAGCAAAGCAGACCCAGGGAGACCATTTAGAAAGTAGTTGCTTTTCCGGTTTGCAAGGCAGAAATAGAGACACAGACGTAGAGAACAAACATATGGACACCAAGTGGGGGAAGGGGGGGTGGAATGAACTGGGAGATTGGGATTGACCTACTTACACTAATATGAATAAAATTGATAACTAATGAGAATCTGCTGTATAGCACAGGGAACTCCACTTCGCTGTACAGTAGAAACTAGCACAACATTGTAAAACAACTATACCCCAATAAAAAAAGAAAGAAAGAAAGTAGTTGTAATAGTACAGGTGAGAAATGATAATGGCTTGGACCAGATAGAAGTAGTGGAAGTGGTGAGAAATGGTCAAATTCTGTACACTTTTAAAAGTAGCACAAACAGAATTTGCTGATGGTTTAGATTATAGAATATGATAAAAGAAGTTACAGATGACCCCAAGATTTTTGACCAGATTGATACAGGCTCTGCTATAAAAAGAGAAATTGCTGATACCAAATGGGAAAATTCAGAGATCCCAAAGGTCACAAATCTCCTTCCATAGTCAGTTCTGTGGTTAGTATTTCTAGTCTGTCCTTTTAGAGGCCTAGCAGAAATCAGTCAGTAGTTTGTGCGACTGTCAGTTCCTCAGACCCAGTGCCGGTGCCCATCCCTGTGTTCAGTCGGTACTATTAGGGTATCACTGAGAGACGGCATGGTGTTGGACCAACATACTTTCAATGTAGTGTGGGAAAGGCCTTGAAAACCTTAGAGGACCTCAGTAGGTACAAACAAATGAAGTTCACCCAAGCCCTTTTAGAGCTGAAAGAAAAACTGGAGTTGGATTTGGGGATCCCTTGTCTGGGACCCACTGCTTTTGGAGACCAAAGCCAGGAAACGTGCTATGAAGCAAGGGAGAAGTGAGAGTGTGTTGAGAAACAGAGGATTTAGAAGTGGCACAAAGCTTCATGTACGACTTGGGCAAGTCTTTTCCCCCTTTGGTTCCTTATATTCTATGTTTCTAAATGTGATTTCAGTGTGTGGTTGTAAAGCTGTCTGTTGAGGGGCAGAGTGTAGTGAGTTTTATACCATTGGGGTCCTCGCGCCAGGACACAGCCAGCTTACTAGAGAGGATGCTGAGGTGCCAGTCGAGTTGTTGGGTACCACTAAATGCAGTGAGCCTCTTCCTTTGCCTCACTCACTGATATTTCTGTTCAAAGCTGTTAGGGGCCACAGCCATAGACGACAAGCTGCAGGATGGAGTACCCGAGACGATTATCACCCTGAACAAAGCCAAAATTAAAATCTGGGTTTTAACTGGAGATAAGCAAGGTAAAGGGGAGCTCCTTGCCTGACCAATTCTCTTCCCTGTCCACCTTAGCCATTTCTTCTTTTTCTTTTTCATTTCCTTTTTTTCTTAGCCATTTATTTGACAAATACCTTATAACCCAGGTCAAGTCATTAGAGGACACCTTCACTCCCAGTCTTGCATATAATTTGCTAAGCATATATAGTACTTTATGCCAGATACTGTATTAGGCATGGAGAACACAGAGATGACTCAGTCAGACATGGCCTCTGTCATCCAGGAACTCACAAGCTAAAAACTTTTAGGGTTGTCTTTGACTACACCCTCTCTGTTGTCCCAAAGATTTACTCTCTTACCATGTTCCACTAATTCTTCTGAAAATCTTCTTAACTATGCCACCACCCTAGTTTAGCCTTTGTCCCCTGTTGGCTGTACTTCTGCAGAAACTTCTGAACTGATCTGTCTCTTGACCTTATTAATTTCAATATAGCCTACATTAAACCATCAGTTTAACCTTCCTAAAATACTGCTTTTGTGATGTTACTCCTCTACTCAGGTACCTACAGCAACTTCACATGGTAAAGTCGGACTCCACTGTCTGGACTTCAAGACCTTGATAATCTGTTGCTACCTACACATCCTTATCTCCATCGTAATGTGACCATATCTTCATTATGTCCCGAACCAATTCCTATTCTATGCCCTCTGTTTGGATTGTTTCCCCATTTGAAATTCTTTTTCCCCCTAAACAAATCTTACTCATCCTTTAAGGCCTTGCTATAAGAAACTTTCTAAGACAATTGCAATCTCTCCTCTGAATTTTGATACTACTTGTAGCCAAGGTTCAGGACTTAATTAAAAAAAATTGTTTTCCTTAGTATGACTTTATTCCAAATTCAAGATTTCTTGATGCAAAGGAAAGACTACAACCTAAATATATCTCAGTCCCCCATAAAATCTAGCATAGAAACAGGCACAGTGCTGTTCAAGGAAATATACCCAGATTGCCGGAAGTGAATACAGATAGGAATTGCTTTAAGAAATAAGGGAAGGCTTTGTAGAGAAAGCTAAGCCAGAATGATCCTAGTTATTGATAAATAACTTGCAAGTCTGTACCAGGTAGACATTTTCCTCTGGATGTTTGAATATAGTCTCCACTGGCTCACGAAAAACACACTTTGACTGCATCCATGGCAAATATGGACATATGGGCTCTGCAGGCCACTGTTTAGTGCCTTTGTACCTGTACACTGTAAAGACCCTGTTCCAGCCAAAATGCGACCTGTGTTCCCCCTTGCCCTGCAGAGACTGCTGTGAACATTGCCTATGCCTGTAACATATTTGAGGATGAAATGGATGGGATGTTTATCGTGGAAGGCAAGGATGATGAGACTGTTCGGCAAGAACTCAGGTACGATGGGAGAGCTGCCACAGCCTGTCCCTGGAACCAAGATTTCCCACCCATCACTTCACCCAGTATGGCTCCTACAGTACCAGAAGGAACAGAGAAGAAATGGGGGAGGGAAAAACAAAAAAACCTAAAATATTCGAGAGAATTTTGTGAAGAAGCATTAGGGCTCAAGGAGTTGGAGTGTGGAGGTGGAGAAGTGTTGTATGTAGATGGTCTTGGGACCTAAGGCAGTGGCTGGTCTCAGAAAGCAGTTGAGTATGAGGCCCTGGGAGGTGCTCTGCAGAGGACACATTTTCCTTCCTAAGCTCTGGGGCTTCAGGTCAGACACTAACCATTACTCTTGGCTTTCAGGTCAGCAAGGGAAAAGATGAAACCTGAGTCTCTACTGGAATCAGACCCGGTAAACAGTTACCTCACCACAAATCCCCGAATGCCCTTCAAAATACCCGAGGAGATGCCCAATGGCAACTACGGCTTGATCATCAATGGCTACAGTCTGGTGGGCAACACAGACCTACAACTCTGTTCTCTTCTTCCAAGGAACTTTTTTCCTAGGTCCAACCCACTTCAGGGAAATTTCAAGATCCTTTTGCTATTCCATGAGTTACCCTATTCCCCCTTCCTTCAGGTGCCCTTGCCTGTCAGACACCTTTCCCCAGCCTTCTCTAGGCAGGAATAACGAGGAAAGAGAAGCCAAGGGCATAGTCCTTTCTTATCCAAATTCTTCACTACTGATGTGGCCCATCACATAGGGGAAGGGGGGAAGTGAGCAGAACCAGGTCCTCCAAAAAATCACTTGGCCTTATAACCCAGTCAATTGATTTGACCCAGTGAGAGACCCTCACTGGTTTTCCACTGGAGGCTGGGTCAGGATGCCTAGAACTGACTTGCGGGCTTGGCTGCCCTTGGGAGTGGAGCATCTGGGGAGAAGCTCTGCCTGACAGGGGAGTATGGAGGGGAAGGAGAAGGCCTAGGAAGGTTCTGTCCCAAGAGTCTTTTGGGGCAGCCTGGAATGTGGGTGTGTCCTGGTGCTGCAGGCCCACGCTCTAGAAGGGAACCTGGAGTTGGAACTGCTGCGAACGGCGTGCATGTGCAAGGGAGTGATCTGCTGCCGGCTGACACCCCTTCAGAAGGCCCAGGTGGTAGAGCTGGTGAAGAGGTACAAGAAGGTGGTGACACTGGCCATCGGGGATGGGGCCAATGACGTCAGCATGATCAAAGGCACGTGAGGGATGGGGGGGCCGTAGTGCCTAGCCACGGGCTTGCTCTTCCCTTCTTCCATGGGCAAAACTGATCTGGGTGGCACTGTGTTGCTGGCTTACTCTCCTGCATATCATATGTATTGTACATTTATAGTGTTTTGCAGCTTCATTCGTGTTCCTCTACACCTCAGTTCCCACTTGTTTACACATCATTACACCAGCCCACATCCACAGTCATGCACACACATTCAGATTCATGTATGTTAACACTCACACACACTCAGATACCCATGGCTCCAATAAGAACACATGTGCATAGCCACAGAACAACAGGCTGTGCAACTACAACGCCATCTTTCTGAGATGGCATTGAAGCCCACAGAAAGGACCCCTGGGCAGGAGTCGTGGTCTGTTCCTTTTTTGAAGGCTGTAGGGCTGAGCAATGTTAGACAGACTACAGGGCTGCCCAACCAGGGAATTAGCTGTGCGGTCTGATGCAGGGATCTTTTCCTCTCTGAGGCAATATTCCCAAGAGCTTGCCCTGACTCCCCTGGCTGGAGAAGAATAGCAAACTTACTGATGCTTCGGACCAACAGAAGCAAATGGCTGAAACTGGTGCTAATTTCAGCTGAATGTTGTTAGCCTCCAGCAACTTGTGGTTCTGTGAGATATGGATAACATCTAGGGGTCCTCTAGTCCAACCTCTCTCCCCGTACTGGAAACACTAGCAGATATTCCAGCCTCGGCTTCAATACTAGGAAGTGTTCTTGCTCTTTTCCCCACTTTCTAGAACTTCATTGGCTTTTAGAGCCTTAGAGGTTTCAATTATTCTGTTAAGCAATGTAATAGGTATATACCAGAAGATCAAAGAATTTGGCCTATATTACAACAGACTGATTAAAACTTTTAGAAACTTAAGTCTGACCTTCCATCAAGCATAATCCTTGCTTTATCCAGAAAAAGTCACCTTAAGCTTCCTGAAGAACTCGTTTCTTACTAACAAAGTATGTACATCACGTATTCCTCCCAACAGTTGGATTTTGGCTCCTTAGGTAAACTTAGGTAATTAAAAACTATGTTAGGTTGACATTCATCCTGCATCTTTAATTGATTTAAGTGGCTTCGAGAGATAACGAGAAATTTTTACCTCAGCATCTGGGCAGTAGGGAAGAGCCCAGATGGCTATAGTAGGTGCAAAACCATCAAGGACAGTTTTCTAGTACTAGCTGTACGTGGCGTTCTTGAGTGGCAGCATCCGAAACAAAGGGCAGATGAAGGAGTTGTTGTCTGACTTGTGGGGGAGGGGCAATCCACTAAGGAGAAAAGACTCCATAAGTAAGTGCCACCTTGAGCTGGGCCCACCAGTGTTTTTCAAAGGTAAAATAAGGGGCTTATGCAACATGATCTCAGCCTTCCTTTTACACTTCCCAGGCCGGGAGCCCAGAAGACAAGCTCTGTGGCTGAGACGTTTCTGGGGTTTCTTTGCAGCTGCCCACATTGGAGTCGGCATCAATGGCCAGGAGGGAATGCAGGCCATGCTCAACAGCGACTACACCTTCTCCCAGTTCCGCTATCTTCAGCGTCTACTCTTGGTCCACGGCCGCTGGTCCTATAATCGCATGTGCAAGTTTCTCAGCTACTTCTTTTACAAAAACTTTGCCTTCACTCTGGTGCACTTCTGGTATGCCTTCTACAGCGGGTTCTCTGCACAGGTAGGAAGTCAAGTGGCATTCCCCACTCTCGTCAACTGGGTCTTTTCTAATCGCCCCCCACTTCAACCAGTTCAGACCCCTTTTCTCCTCTAGAGACGTGTGTATGACGTGCTGTCATCTATCCATTAAACTCCTCACCCATGATGATCCCATCTCCTAACCCTACACTTAACCTTAGATTTCTAAACACTAACTTTTCTGTCCTGGCTCTGACTTGGCCTTGACTCCTACCAACAGAACTCTCCCATGAGATATTTTCATCTTTTCCATGACACAGAGACCTAGAATTTCCCAACATATGTAATGGGGGTGGGGGTGAGATTCCTAGGTCTGGGAGGGTTTTTAGCGTCCAGAGTAATCTTTATGGAACAGGCTAAGTCTCAAGGGGCCTTTGGGTCTTGCCAGACAGACTGGTTCTGGCATTTACCTGTAGCCATACTTGGAAACACAGCTTCCCTTTACTTCTCCTTCCTCACCCAGACATACCACACTGCCAAACACACCCTATCTTTCCTCTAATGAATATGAAGCCTCCCCCACAGAAGTGGGGAGAGGTGACACTTGGATGTTGATGTTCTATGAGAAGTCCCTTTTCCTATGAGAAGTTTTTCAGGAGTCTCTCAAGGATTCCCAAAGAGAAACAACCTCAGGAATGATTATCTTGGGAGATCCCTACTACCTTTGTTACCTTGGGCTCCAGGGGAAACAGACCAGTCAGCAGACAATAGTAGGCTTGTCTACCCCTAGTGTCTAACAAAGCCAGTCTGGTTTGTGGGAGGTATATGTGTATTTATGTGTTACTGCTGACCTCTTGTGGTTAGTGAAGAAAGGAGCCCTCTCTAGGCCCAGAATGAAGCACCCAGCTGGGGAAGGGTCATCGGGTCTGTTCTGCTTGCCAGTGTTAGAAAATGTCCAGGGTTATAGAAACTACTGAATGCCATAAGCAGATAAAGAACCCAGAGGCTTACATGCCTGGGAGTGCAGGGCTACACCTAGCATTCCCTAGCAGCCACTCTGGGTCCTTTCTGTGTAGGGAGGAGCAGTACAGGTCATGGTGGGGTTGGTCTAAATCAGCCTTGTCAGGTTGGCCACAAACAAGTTTGATGTGGACTTACCCCAGCCTGGGACCCAGGGACCAAACAGAGTCTGGGGTCAGCCTTCTCAGTCAGATTTCGGAAATCCAAATCCTGCTCTAGGTTGGTATGGTGATGGGTAGGTGGAGGGCAGAAGGGCTTCTCTTGGACCTGGGAGGTGGAGCTGAGACTTTGGAGAAGAGTCTAAGAAATCTCCTTGGTATTCTTCCAGACAGTTTATGATACCTGGTTTATCACTTTCTACAACCTGGTCTACACCTCCCTCCCTGTCCTGGGCTTGAGTCTGTTTGACCAGGTAAGACCAGCAGCAAGCCTGTTAGGGCTGAAGACCCTGGGCCCTTGAAGAGTATTCCCAGGAGTGAGGAGGACAGCAATAGCCAAGCTCTACAAAGTCAAATGTAAATGGAATAATTTATAGAGCAAGGGAGGGAGCTGATCACCTACAGAGGTATCATTGGATAAAGTAAAGAATCCTCTGCCACAGAGAATAAACATCAGTTGTAGAAATCCAAGTTTTCCTGTGTGAATTTTATCTTTGTAGAGAGAAACACAGAAATTGTGCTGCACAGTAAATCGAGTGTGTAAAAAAGTGAAAGGAAATAGAGTTATTGGTGCAGGACTAGGTAAAGCAAGGGGCTTCAAGAAAGGAGCGACCCATAGAGAGATAATGAGATAAGCCAATTCAGGGAGGCCTAGGTGGGAATCCTGAAGGCCAAACATGGGAGTATGGGTATATGATGCCTTGAATCATAGGGAGTCAGCCTAGGGGATACCATTTAGCCCTCTCAGAAATTCCCTGGGCATTGAGGGTCCTGGTGCCCTACCTCTCCCTCCTCTTCTACCCAATCTCCAGTCCTGGGCACATGGAATAGAAAAGGGGCCTCCAAAGAGGAATAAGGTAGCTGAAAGAAGACATCATGGGATCATGGTTCCTGGTCTCCATCGGGGTAGGAAGGGAAATTCTCCGTAAAGTAGCTGACAGCCTCAGAGCAACAAGGGGGGTGAATTATGTCGTTCAACAGTCCTATCCAGCTTCAATGGTCTAACTCTAGGGATCCACAACATCTCAAAACAAGCCTCCAGCTTTGTTATCCAAAATTTCGGATTTAGCAGATAAAGATGATCCAATGTCATCCACGCAGAGAATTCCCTCACCTGAATTCCCAGTAGCTATGGGAATGGGAGCAGCATCACAGAACACAGATACCTCTAAGGGACTAACTTGTCTCCATTGGCTTCCCACTTTCTTCCAACTGGCTTTTGACACAAAGGATACTCAACTAAAGGAACACTTAAAACTGGGGACTCATGTCCCAACTGCCTTCCCCATCCCAAGCTCCAGTCCTCCCTTCAGCTATTCCCAATCCTAATTGCCCCCTTTCTTAACTCCACATCTTGCCCTTCTAGCTTTCTTCCACCACGTATATCCTTGCCTGGAGAGTAGGACTTTAGGAAGGGTCTGTGGTCACTGCTCTGTTCTCTGGTTCCACTTCTCAAGTAATCCATGAGGAAACTCCTAGGCAGCCTAACAGCAGACTCAGTAAGGGGAGAAGCCTCTAGTCTGTTAGAAATGGGATCTTCTATGGAGAGACCCTGAGCCTTCCTTCTTACCCTCTGGTGCTTCCAGGATGTGAATGAAACATGGAGCCTACGTTTCCCAGAGCTGTATGAGCCAGGCCAGCACAACCTCTATTTCAACAAGAAGGAATTTGTGAAGTGTTTGATGCATGGGATCTACAGTTCCTTAGTGTTGTTCTTTATCCCTATGGGGACCGTTTACAATTCAGTGCGCAGTGATGGGAAGGAAATCTCCGATTACCAGTCCTTCTCCATGATAGTGCAGACCTCCTTGCTCTGCGTGGTCACAGTGCAGGTGTGGCCAGTGGTGGGGTAAGGGGATTGGGTGGGGAGCCTGTCCGGAAGAGAGGAAGGGAAGGAGGGAAGGAAGGTGGGAAGGGAGCATCCTCCTTTACAAAATTGGAGAAGGGAGGTGGCTGACAGGTCCCAGGTTGTAGACTAATGAACATAAGAGGGTGCTTTTCAGATTGCCCTGGAGACAACCTACTGGACAATGATAAGCCACATCTTCACCTGGGGTAGCCTGGGCTTCTACTTTTGCATCTTATTCTTCCTGTACAGTGATGGCTTGTGCCTAATGTTCCCCAACATCTTCCAGTTCCTAGGTAAGATTCTGCCCAGTCTGTGGCAAGGGGCTGGGGCTGGGGGTGGTAGTGTGAACCAAGTACATTTGTTTAATAAATGTTTACTGAGCAGCTATTACTATGTGTTAGGCTCTGTCATATATATATATATCATATATATATATATATATCATATATATATATATATATATATCTCATATATATATATGATTATGACATGGTCTCAGCCCTAAAAGGACTCAAAATCTAGCTAGGTGAAATATTTTACCTCATTAGAGTCTCTAAGACATTTTTAAGCTTCTTACCTAATTTGGTCTCTACAAGCATCCTGTGAGACAGACAGGGCAAGGATTATTACACCATTTTAGAGACGGGAGGTTTTTAAAAAATGACTCAAATCTAGGTCTCCTGGTTCCCAGTCCAATGTCCTTTCTACTGTGGCATACTGCCTTCTTATCTCCCACATTAATTTCCCTCTCTCTCATCTCCACTGTGATGAGGACAAAATACAGACAGAGTAGACGTGTAGATGTAGCTGGCTTCTACCTCCTGTCAAGCCACTCATTTTTCCCTTCCAAAACCCTCTATCGCATTTTTGTGTCCAGGCCAATGCTCTAGGATTCCTATAACCTACCCCCACCTCTCCTGCCCTGCCCGGCCTTTAGAGGGAGACAAAGGCATGTGAATTCACAGTGACTTTGGCTGCACCAAGGACCTAACCTCAGTGCAATCCTTTCACATTTATATTATTTCTCAGGAGACTAACTGTCTCCAAATCAATAACTTCTTTCTTTGGACCGAAGAGACAGACCTAAGTTCTGGCTGACAGCCCCCTTCCTCTAGGCTCTGGTTCTGCCTTTCCCTTCTGGCTCATTGTTTACAGGTGTGGCCAGGAACACTCTGAACCTGCCGCAAATGTGGCTGGGTATTGTCCTCAGTGTGGTCCTCTGTATGTTGCCTGTGATTGGGTACCAATTTCTCAAACCACTATTTTGGCCCGTCAGTGTGGACAAGGTGAGTGGAACAGGGAATCTACCCAGATATAATTCATGACCCTCTTTGCCTTTGCTTCTGTGGATAAAAACCCTGTCCCCCATGCTTTGGCTTTAGATTATTGACAGAATTCATCATTGCATGAGACATCCACTGCCACACCCAAGCCGGACCAAATGGAAACATGCAAGCTCTCAACGTTCTGCCTATGCGTTCTCCCACAAACAGGGCTTTGGGGCCCTCATCACTTCCGGCAAGACAATGAGGGCCAAAATGTCCAAGAAAAACAGCTTTCCTTTTAAAAAGTAGAGGCCTTTACAGAAGCCCTAAAGGAGTCAGTCATTGCTCTTCCTCCCTTGTATTCACACAACTTAATAGGGAGAGATTAGAGTCCCTGGAAACCAGCATAAACCTGTTCTTCCACTCTCACTCCAGGGGCTCAGCCTCTTCATTCCCTAGAAGGCTATGCCCAGGTAAGGCAAGGAAAGGTAAAGGGCCCCCAGACATCTGTCAGAGTTACAGCATTTCAAGAAAAAGCAATGTCAGGCCTCCCTCTACCAACCCTTCCAAGTTTTAATCCATACAAGCAAATGTGGAAATAATGTGTGAAGAGGGGGAATGTGGGGAAGGGAAAAGAAAATAGGACCTAAGAATCTTAGTTTGGGCCCTATTTCCCATACCCAGAGCAACCATAAATTTTGCCAGGGCTCCCCACAAACATATTCACCCAGGTACCCTTCTCAGGTTTATCTGAGGGATTCAGGGCCTGGGTAGCAAAAGGAAGAGGCAGCTATGAAAAGTTGGTCATAAGAAGTTAAAGGAGAGTTTCTGGACCAAAGAAAGAATGGAGGTGGTTCCTGCCTTGATAGGACAGCTCAAGATTTTGCCACCTTCTCTTCTCTTTGACCCCTTTGACCCAAGAACTGATACCTTTTCAGGCCTCAGAACTGGGAGGGGGAGACTGCAGGGGATTTAAAAAAATCTTTTCTTGAGGGACATAAGCCATGATTGGTGAACATTTGTCTTCATTCCATAAAATTATTTTGAGAAGAAATTGTATGTACTTGGGAAATTGCTTCTAACAAGTTTATAGATAAGTAATAAATTGCTGATTTTCGAGTAGAGAGATTTTGTATTGTCTGTTAGGGCCCCAGTGATAATAACTTAGGCCAAGCAATATCATTGGTCTATAGACCCCTTTTGAATGAGACCAATATTTCCCTCCCCCCACCAACTATGTTTTCACTTCCATTCCAGTTTTTCCCCCTGCTCCTAAACTCTATCTTGGCCTCAGTATGACCACATCTTTTAACCATATAGCTCTATCCTCTTTGCACACCTTAAATATTAGTTCCCAAAGCTCAGCCCTAGGTTCTCTGCTCATTTTCTTTGTACACTTTTCCTGAGTGACAACTTCTAATCTCATGACTTTATTTACCAATAGAAAGAAGATTCTCAACTCTCTCTCTATCCTAGATCTCTCTTCTGAGATCCAGATCCATTTATTAAACTGACTCTAAGACCCTTCACTTAGTTGAATCTCAGGAAACTCACCAACCCGTATTAAACATTTTCCCCCAAAATTTCACCCCAGGATGTCACTACCATCATCCCATTCACCCAAAGCAGAATGATGGGAATCATACAATACTCTTCCTATATAGTCTAATGTCTAATATGTCATCAAGTAATATAAATTCAGCATCTTCATCATGTCCTGTTTTCAGTTCCCTCCATTATTACTACCATTGTCCTCGTTTAGACTTTGATCATCTCTGACCTGGACTACTGCATAAAATCTCCCCTCTCATCTTCCTGGCTTTCCCCTATCTAAAGTATCACCAGTACCATTTCCAGAGTTATCTTTCTGAACTGCAAACTTGATCATGTCAAGCCCCAGCTCAGCACCCTTTAAGAATTTTGCACGCCTTCAGGATCAAGGTAAAATATGAACACATTATTATTAGGCCCTCTCTAGTCTTGTCTTCTACTTCTCCCCCATCTGCATTCACTCCAGTCATGCTATTTCTGGTCTTCATGTGGTCAAGCATGCTGTTCTCATATCCTAAAATGCTTTCCCTCACCCCCTTCTTCATCAAGCAAATTCCTAGTCACCCTTCAAAACTCGGAATATTTGGAACTAAGTAGAGGTGATGGTTGAACAACATTGTGAATGTACTAAGTGCCCGTGAACCGTATACTTAAAAAGGGTTATGAGAATGTTTTATGTTATGAGAATTTTACCTCAATTTTTTAAAAACTCAGATTAGGCATTGTCTCCTGCAAGAGCTTACCCTAATTCCTCAGTGTGACTTTTATATATCTGTCCTATTTATTCAATTGCTCCCCTGTGTATACCTCTGTCGGTGACACTTATCACAGGGCATTGTAATCATTGATTTACTTATCTATTCATAACATATAATGGGCCTTTAATAAATGTCTACTGAATAAGTGAACAAATAAAATGAAAGAATATTTAAATCTGCTTCTTTGACTATTTTTCTTGTTTCCCTGAATAGCACTACCACGCAGTAGCTCAAACCAAAAAACTGGAAGTCTTTCTGGACAGCTCCCTTCCATTCCTCTAATCCAATCCATTCTGTTACCAAGTTCCATATACTCTGTCTTAGAAATGTCTTCAAGTCTTTCTCTTCCTATTTGTTCCCAATCCCATTGATTTCATTTTTCTTGCCTAGATTATGCCAACATCCTCCTCTCAGGTCTCCCTGCCTTTGATTGTGCTTCTTTCCAATCCATGATCCACACCACAGAGAGTGATTTTTCAAAAATACAAATCAGATCATGTCATTTGCCAGTTTAAAGTCCTTTAGTGAATCATCATAGCTTTCCTGCCTTGGTGCTGCCTACCTCCCCAGCTTCATCGCCACTTTCTGCTGCACACACTAAATTATTTGCAATTCCCCAAAGGTTCCATTATCTTCAGAAACCACTGTGCCTTGGCCCTTTCTGTTCTCTCCTCTTAGAATATATTCTTTCCTTTATCTAGCTAATGTGTATCTGATCTTCAATCTCAGCGGCTTTGGTCACTTCCTCTGGGAGCCTTCACTGACACCCAATTTCCTGTCAGGTTTAGATACCTGCCAAACACTAAAACTAGTTTATGACAGTATTAGTCAAGTAAGAACCTTCTTCTCCCTCCACCCTGCTCAAACCCTGGAGAAAGAAGATTAGCAAACTGGGGCATGGGAAAGAGATAGTGGGAAATGATAGACATCTACTAAGCCCCACTGAACATGGCCACCTGCAATAGGGCCAAGCTGAGAGATGGGAAACGCTTTAATTTTAAAGTAAGAAGTTTAAAAAATAATTTCATTAGTGTGGACATCTTAATTATTCAAGTGACACTTAAAGTAACAAGTACTGATTGCTACCTAAAATTGACCAGAAAATTCATGAAGTAAAAGTCTCATAAATAGGTTAAAAGAGTAGAAAACAAAATAAAATGGTTTTATAGTTAAACTGACCCCACAAATTCCATTCTTTCAAGGTTCCAATTACACACACACACACACACACACACACACTCCCTTTCATCACATTCACCCATATACAACAAATATTTATTGAGCATCTACCATGTCTGGGCACTGTTCTAGATGCTGCCAATACAGTGAAAGACAACAGAAAAGGTTTCTGCTACCATGAAGCTTATGTTCTAGTAGAAGAGCCAATGTCAAAGTAAACAAGATCATTCAGATAATAAGTGCTATGAAGATACTGCAACAGCTGCTTTAACAGTGAGAGGCTGTGAGGGGGGAGGGGTAGCTAATTTTATATTTGGTAGTCAGAAAAGGACTTTCTGAGGAAATAACATGTGACATGAAACTTAAGTGACTAGAAGGATCTAGCTTTGCAAAAATCTAATGGAAAGACATTCCAGGCAGAGTAAGTAGTGTAAAGTCCTGAAGACAGGAGCAAGCTTTGTATATAAGAAACAGAAGCCTAATGTGGACAAAACATGGTGAGCAAAGGGGAGTGTGGTTAGATAGGTCTGATGAGAAGCAGTGGAGGGCTTTAAGGCCAGTTTGAAAAGATTGGTCAGGCTATTCTACGGGCAATAGAAGTGCAAAAGTGACATCAGGGAGACTATTTAGGAGGCAGTTACAGTTGTCTAGGCATGGAATGGTGGTGGCTTAGACTAGGGTGGAAGCAGTGTAAAAATAAGTGGATGAATAGAGGATATATTTTGAAGATAAAACCAAAGGACTTTGTGGGTGGGCTACAGAAGATGCAGGTACTGGTTTATCAAATGAGCCCATTGACTTACTCAATGGTGCTAAATCCATAGATTACTGACTCTTCCCACACAGCTCCTGATGATGGGGTGGGTCTAGGTCGTCCCATATTTGTGCCAGTTGACTCCACTACTCCCAGCCACAACTGGTGAAGAGTGGATATATAATCCCAATATACCTGCTCTCTCTGGGAATTAGAATTCCAAGAAACTAAGTCAGTGATGAGAATAGTTACTAAAAGGTCATAGTTTCAGGAAGAGAGGCCTCCGTTTTAAAGTGGCCATGACTTACTATAAGTATGAAGATAAGTACGCCAATGTGTCTAGTCTATAGAGAGAAGAATAAAGCAGATGTCCAAAGGGAAACAGACAAGACACTGTTTCATTCCAGGAGAGCACCCCGTGAGGGGTTTTCTGAAGTTGAGTTGGTGATGAGATCTTTTCACTTGAGCTAGATGAGATAGCTGCCAGTAGCAAAAACAGAGAGGTGATTCCAACTTACATACGCTTATACTTGTTCCTCATCTACAGCTTCTCAGGAACAGGGAGAGGTCACGGGACCATTTGGCTCATCCTTAACATCTTTTTCTATAAGAAACTGTGGGGGAAATAACCATATTTACCACTGCCAGAAACAGAGAAACAAGGGAGCACTGTCCTAGCCCCAACATTTCCCTGTAATTCTAGCTCCAAATCTTCTAAGATATGTACAAAGAGTTTTGGAGAAAACTCAGCGTTTGGAGGATCCTGAGAGTCATGCTAGACTATTCACTCTACTTTACCCCCACCCGCCAATGACACATTAATCATTATGTCCTATAGATCAGGGGTCCCCAACCCCCGGCCTGCAGACCGGTACCGGTCTGCGGCCTGTTAGGAACCAGGCCACACAGCAGGAGGTGAGTGGTGGGCAAGCGAGCAAAGCTTCATCTGCCGCTCCCCATCGCTCATATTACCGCCTGAACCATCTTCACCCCCATCCGTGGAAAAACTGTCTTCTATGAAACTGGTTCCTGTTGCCAAAAAGGTTGGGGACCACTGCTATAGAGTCTATACCCTTAATCTCTCTTAGATCTATCTCCTCTTATCTAACCCCTCAGCCACTGTCCTAATTCAGACCCTCCCATTTCTCATCATAATTACCACAGTCTCCTAACTGGTCTCTTTACTTTCCTCTAATTCAATACCTACATTCCAACTAGAGTGAGATTTCTTAAGTTCAAATCTGTTCAAATACTGATAATAATGCAAAATATTTTTGCCCATAACAATGCAAATAATTCCTATTCCCAGTGATGCAAATTAATTTTGTCTGGTAGAGAATTTACATTTCTAAAAGTCAAATACTCATGTGAACCAGTCTTAGTGTCTTACTGGTTCTCTCATTAATTAGTGAGTTTAATATAGATTTATTTTATATTTGTATAAGATTCATGATTTTACCTTTTTTTTTTTTTGGTACGCGGGCCTCTCTCTGCTGTGGCCCCTCCCGTTGCGGAGCACAGGCTCCGGACGCGCAGGCTCAGCGGCCATGGCTCACGGGCCCAGCCGCTCCGCGGCATGTGGGATCTTCCCAGACCCGGGCACGATCCCATGTCCCCTGCATCGGCAGGCGGACTCTCAACCACTGCGCCACCAGGGAAGCCCCATGATTTTACCTTTTTGAAAAATTATCCCTTAACACAAATAACGGGAAGTAACCCCCACTTGCTGAAGCCAAAAATGAGACTATATGAATGGATAGAAGGATATGCCATCAACCTAGGGCAACAATCAAGCTCGCCTCAGTAAGAAGCAGAACCAGCTGCTGGGGAGTAGTCTCTTTGTGTCTAGACTTGACTCCTGTCTAGGCAACAGATTGATA